CTTCTTCTTCTTCTTCTTCTTCTTCTTCTTCTTCTTCTTCTTCTTCTCCTGTTTTCTTTTCTTTCTTTCCCCCCCTGAGAACACAGGGCCTGTAGGTAGTTGCCCTCCTATAGAAAGTTGAGGACCTATTAAATCCTTCAGTCTGTAGCAAGGCAGAAGCCAGGCGGGAGCCCTGACAGGTTAGACACTAGGTTGTGCCAGAGCTAAAATAAGCACAGTGGCCTGGTGTCCAGGACTCCAGAGTTCTAAGCAGCTGGTGACAAAGTCAGTGACAGGGTCTTCAACTGGGCTGGAGAGTCCTGCACCCGAGGGGCGGGGGTTGGGGGTGGCGGACAGGACAACAGGCTGAGCTGGGAATCAAAGACTACACCAACAAATAGAACTGGTAGAAGCCAAGCCGGCCCCCACTTAGCCATGATATTTATTGTTGCTCCCCCTAATCCCTGCTAGGAAACAGAAAAGAATCTGTAGGAAGGCCAAGCAGTGCAGGGGCCCTCGCTCGTGAGCATGATCCTAGCTGAGAGGCCAGAAGGTAGCCTGGAAGCCCCGTGCCAGGAAGGGCTTCCTGCTGTCTGCAAGGGGTGTGTGTGTGAGGGGTGCACAGCTCTCACAACCCCGACCTTGATTTGGGCTGAATGAGACAAAGGCCTGGGGCCTGGCTTTTGTTGTCATTCTTTCCACAGGGCCTGAGACCCAGCTCTGCTCCTTTTTGTCTAAAGTGGGGCCGGGCCAGGCAGAAGAAGGGGAGGGGAACTGACCTCATGCATGGACCTCGAAAACTGTTGCAAACTTGATTTCCCTTGTTTTAAGCTCCTCCTTCCCTGTATCTTCCTTTGTCAACGTGGGTGCGTGGGAAGAGCACCCATTTATTGTCATTTTGAAGAATTTAACAGCTAAGGTGTTTTCCCTGAGACTCAGTTTCAAAAATCAACAAACAGGGACACCTGGCCTGAAAAGGGAGAAGGGGGTCAGCTGTGCCATTGTGGCAGGAAAGTGCCCCTCCGTCCCCAACAATGCCTCAGAAGCTGTCCGGCCCATAACCCACCCCACGCTCCCCACACCCCCCAACCCTGGGAGGACCAGGTAGAAAGGTCTCAGTGTTTGGTATCTCACTGTGACAGAAGAGCTTGTTCACCCACCAGCTTTTAGAAGCTTAGAATGGTGCCTCACCCCATTTCACATTGTTAACTCTCACGAATTTTTTTTTCCCCTCTCTGGGACAATCGGAGTGGCAGCAAGGTGGGTCTGAAGAGCCAGAACCAGAGGTAGTTACATACGTATTTGGAAGTCGTTTTAAAATGACCACCGCCGAGGGCGAGGTCTAGGTAAGAGGCAAGCCCGTGAGCAGCGGGGAAGTTTCTTGGGAGGTGCCCGGCACCCTTCCACTCTGCATAATAATGGGGTGATTCGGGGTCAAGAGGAAACAGCAGGTTACACTGTCCTTCAGGCCGAGTTGAGCTGGGAGGAAGCTGATCAGAGAAGCTCCAGGCTTTAAGACTGCCCGAGATGTCTGACAATGCTGACAGGGTGACTTTTAAAGAACAGGGTCGCCAAGCCCTCGCTGTGATGTCCTCCTTCCTTCCCCTGTGTGGCTACCTTGTTTGCTGGGATGGGAGCGGTTCTTGGCTCCAGGCTCAGGAACAGGGAAGACATAAGTGAGTGCCCTTTCAGGCCCCCCGTTACCGCTTCCATCCTTTCAGCCTGATCTCTCTACTGCAGTGTTTCTTCAGCAGGCTCAGGGAGAGGATGTTTGGTCAAAGGGCATCAAGATGGGAACAGGAGAAGAGGAAATGAGGGGCCAAAGATAAAGAAATAAGAGCCAAGGAGAAGGGAATAAATAGAAACAGCCGATGAATAACACCAGGTATGTAGCAGACAGGGAGAGGCATGAAAAAGGAGCGAGACAGAGAGGTTGTCTTACAGAAAGGAACAATTCAAAAATAGGAAAATGTGAGAAACCCCAAAACAAACAAACTCAGGCCTGTACAGGAGAGCAAAGAAGCCACTGGAAGTAAGAAACAGACCGCTAAACAGGAAGGAGTCTGAATGAGAAATGCCTGCAAGGAAAGGAGGAACAGAGGGCCCTTTGTGGCCAGTTTGGAGATTAGAGAGAAATGGCAGAACAGAGAGGAGCCAAGAGTGTTTATTCCTTGCACTTGAACAACAAATTCATTATTTTTTATCACGGAAGAACCGTCTCTGAGAGTACCAAGTCTTTTGGACTATCAGCCTGTCTCTCCCTTCTTTCCATCCCTTGGGACTTTTTAAAGCATAAGGAAACCCACAACCAGGAACACCAAATCTCCATCTCCATTGTTTTCATAGAATGTTTATTTTGTAGAAGGCCTTCTACTCTTATGGTTCAGGCTGGGTTACCTGTCTCTGCCGGTAAATAAACTCAGGCTTTATATTCTCCATATTCTCCGGCGATACCTCTTTGAGGTGTTTATTGCTCTCTTGAAAATATGGATTAAAAAAGGAAAGAATTATCTGTATGACTCATACTTCAGAAGTCTTTCTTACCATTAATAAGTGAAAGGTTGCCTTGTAAGTTTAAATAATTTAACAAATGGAGTAATAAAAAAATGTAGCAAAGCATATACAGGCAAATACCACACATACCCAGGAGAAGTAGAGATTAGTTATCTTATTACTGCAAATTGCTGTTACTAAACATTATGATAAATTACCCAAAAAGATGGCTCTTTGCCCCTTTCTGTAATTTCAAGTTGTTAATATTATTCACACATGGCTATGTCTCTCCTTATATGCCTCTCTTGCCCTGTCTCTCTAATGAGGAAATAAAAGGGGAAAATGCAGCAGATAAATGTACCAGCCGTGGCTGAAGCAAATGAAAAAAGATATCAGAAACAAATAACATTATCAGCTTTTACCTCCATAATAAGCTCTTATTTATTTAGACCCTATTAATTTGGAATTTATAATAACTTGATTGGGATCTGGGCAGAAATTTTCCTTCATTTAGCAAACACTGTGTGGCTGAGGAGCAGAGAAGAAAAATGTAAATGAGATTATAAGGGGAATGCTTGAAATACATCTTGGAGCACTTCAGGCAACCCCTTATATATGAATAATTAATACAAGAATACATATTATTCTTATCCAGTAATTATCTGGTAATTCAGCAGGAATTTGTTAGGTTGCCCTGCAGAGTAAGGGAGGGTAGGCCTGCCACGAAAGAGCTCTATGACCATCGGCAAGGCACTTAACTTTATCAGCCCTTATTTTTCTTACCTGTGAAAATAGATTGATAATACCAATTCTGCTTAGTTTGAGGGCTTGTAACAAGCACAAAATGAAAGCGTGGGTGGGAAGCCATTTTGAAATCTCCACCTAAGGAACTAGGGGAAAAAAAATCTACATATTATGAGTCTAAATTCCATACCTCCAAGCCAAGTATGGTGGTAATGCATATAACTCAAGCACTTGGGAGACTGGAGCGAGATGATCTGAGCCAAAATCAACACCCTGTTTTAAGAGCAATGACACAGAACCGAAATTTTGTGTTTTCTAGTAATTCAACATGATCTTTCTTCCACACAATTTCAGCAAAAGAAAATTCCCTCACAAATTTGTACGTGTGCGTGTGACTGTGTGTGTGTGTGTGTGTGTGTGTGTGTGTGTGAACAGAACCTTAAAGTCATTGTTTGTGGTGCAGGACCATAGAATATATTTAGCATGGTACAACTGAAAAAAGTTATTGTGCACAGACGAAAGCGTTCAGTGCTGGAGCCTGATAGTTTGGTTCAAATGCATGAGCCTCCACATAGATTGTTAATGATCTCTGAGGCCATTTCTGTATAATAGTAAAATTGTGAATTTCAAAAGATTTTTTTAAATCTAAAGACTAAAAGAGAAAAATGTGCATCGCACGATGCCTAGCACACGATGGGAAATGTGGTCGAGGCTGGGGCATGTAGAGTGATCACAGACAGGATGGGCATCTCAAATTGTGGATTCTCAGCAAGAGAAGACACACGGCATACACATCAAAGAACTATCAAGGCTTCTCGCTTCAAGTCTATGTCTCCTATTACGATTTGGCTCTCAAAATATTAAGCCAAATAGAGAGCGCAGATATTTTACACACACACCAACTTATGCTGCTCTGGGAGAAATATATATTGCAAAGAATTATAATGACATTCTATCCGTTCATGGGTATCTTCTGCCTTTCACGTTCCAGTGTTCATCAGAAGGAGCTTAATTGTTATGCATGTGCTGACCATGCAGAAGAGGACTTAAGAGGGATTATCACTTGCTAGCAAATCTTCAAGGGTCTTCATGGGCTAGAGAGAGTGCTGTGGGTATGGCAGAAACCATACCCACAGGACTTGCCTTCATCACACAGCACACCCTTTAAAAAGTGGGCTCGGCAGAATGATTCTGTAATCTCAACACTGAAGAGACGGAGACAGGGGCATTCCCTGGATCTGCTGCCTGCCTAGCCAAATTCGTGAGGTTCAGGTTCAGTAAGAGACATCGAATCGGAACATAAGGGGGAGAGCTAACGGAGGAAGAAGGCAGACACAACCTGTCACAGCTACGTGTGCGATTGCACATGCATATCTTCCCCCGACACACACATAATCCTTGTTTGTGTTTCACTCAGGTGCAAAATATGTGTCAGACTCTTTCTGGAAGGAAGGAAGGAAGGAAGGAAGGAAGGAAGGAAGGAAGGAAGGA